AGCTTCAAAGGACAGGCTGACTCTTGTTAGGGGCAAATGCAGCTGGTGACTTTAAGTTGACGCCAGTGTTCATTTACCATTCCAAAATTCCTAAGGCCCTTAAAAATTATGCTAAACCAACTCTGCCTGTGCTCTATAAATGGAACAACAAACCTGGATGACAGCACAACAAAATTTACTGAATGTTTTAAGATCCTATTGAGACCTACTGTTGAGAAAAAAAAATTGCTTTCAAAATATGACAGTTCACTGGCAGTGCACCTAGTCATCCAAGAGCTCTGATGGAGATGTACAATGAGATTCATGTTGTTTTCATGCCTGCTAACACAATATCCATTCTGCAGCCCATGGATCAAAGAGTCATTTTGACTTTCAAGTCTTATTATTTAAGAAATACATTTCATGAGGCTATAGCTGCCATAGACAGATCCATTCTCTGGTGGATCTGGGCAAAGTAATTGAAAACCTTCTGGGAAGGGTTCACTATTCTAGATGCCATTAAGCACATTCATGATTCATGGGAAGAGGTAACAAATACCAGCATGAACAGGAGTTTGGAAGAAGTTGATTCCACCCTCATGGATGACTTCAAGGGGCTCAAGACTCCAGTGGAGCTTAAGGATGAGCAGAGAAAGTGGGTTATTGAGATGGAGTCTGCTCCTGGTGGAGATGCTGTGAAGATTGTTAAAATGAAAACAGAGGATTTAGAATATTACATAAACTTAGTTGGTAAAGCAACCAGAGGATTTGAGAGGATTGACTCCAATTTCAAAAGAAGTTCTACTATGGGTAAAATTCTATCAAACAGCACTGCATGCTGCAGAGAAGTCAGTCATGAGAAGATGAGTCCATTGATGCTGCAAACTTCATTGTTGTCTTACGTTAAGAAACTGCCACAACCATCCAGACTTTAAAACCACCGCTAACCTTCAGCAACAGCCACAATAAGTGATTCTTTTAAAATGTATGGCAGGCAGCAGCCATCAACATCGAAGCAAGATCCTCTACCAGCAAAAAGATTAGGACTCACTGAAAGTTCAGATGATGGTTAACATTTTTTAGCAATAAAGACTTTTTAAATTAAGTATGTACATTGTGTATTTAGACATAATGCTATTGTGCATGGAACAGACTACAGTATAGCGTAAAGATCACTTTTATGTGCACTGAGGGAAACCCGAAAACTCATTTGATTCACTTTACTTCGATATTCACTTTATTGCAGTGGTCTGGGAAGGAACCCACAATATCTCCAAGGTAGGCCTGTATGTATTTTTTTTTTAATCTAAAAGTTCTGGAAGGAAAAAGGTAAAATTTCAGATCAACTTGTAGTAAAAAAAACTTTCTAAGCATAACACTAAAGGAAAAACCAATAAAGTAACATATGGAAAAAATGAGTAGTAAAGGTATTTTACTCTTTTAAGTTAAAAAGACATATATGACAAACAGAGGTCTTAATATACTTAAAATACAAAGTAATTTGACAGACAATAAGAACAAACAGTTCAGTATAAAATAAATGGGATAGAATAAGAACTATTCTTACAAAAAATGCAAATAGCCAATTAACATATAAAAAAAGTGTTCAAACTCTTTGTTCACTAGAATGTATATGAAAACAAAGACAAGCCACTTTTTGCCTAATAGATTAATTAGCAAAGAAGGTACGGAGCAATAGTCATCTCCAAAACTATAAACTGATACATCGTTTCTAGGAGACCATATGGCAATATATCTTCAAAATCTTACAAGGATGTGTATCCTTTGGCCCAGCAATCTCCTTTTGGGGGAGTCATTCTAAGAAATGATGGCATCAAAGCCCAAAGAGATAAACACATGTTTAAGCATCAGCAAACCAAGGAAACCTTTTTTTTTCTCTAAGAATTATATATTTGGTATTTCAGAAGAGGACTGGAGTAGTTATCACAACAAACCAGAATATTGTTTATCCTCCTTTATGGCTTGCTATTGTTTTTATTTTCTAATTTGAATTAGACAAGGGAATGGGGTGGGAGAAACTATGATCTTTTCCCTGTTTCAGTTGTGGTTAGATCTCAAGCCACACTCTGTATAGATGTTCAATGTACTATCCATACTTGTAATGACAGACTAGAAAAAAACAATACATGAAATAATTAATGATTCTTTTAAAATATCTGGCACAGTCTTAGAATACTAAGCCTTAGAATACTAAGCCACTAAAATTTATAATCACAAGTTTATATTTATTGACAGTATAAGATACTCATAATTTGTTGGATAAAAAACCAAGTTCAAGCCCTGGAAGACGACTGGTTAGCCAGAGACAGGTAAGATTCCTCAAGGGAGGAACAACCTAAGACAGGAACAGTCGCAGGGGGGCCATCAGGTGAGAAATTGGGGATCAACAGAGGTGAGGCTTAGAACCTCACCCCCCCTGTTTTGAGAGAAATCTTCTGCATCCGTGGATGTTTTATTGCCCTTGTCTAGCTTGGATTAACA